CGTGATCATTTCCCGGTGTGGGGTCAGCCCAACTCTTTTGGGGTCCTGCCTGCCCCGCATCTCAATTTGGAGCTGCTACCCCTGGGGCGCTAGGGCCTGGGGCCCGGCAGGAGTCCAAGCACACTCTGGGGCTGAGCCCTGGACCCCAGCCTCGGCTCAGAAACTGGCCGGGTATTGGATGCGCCCAGCCAGGGGCGCGGCGGGGAGCTTAACAGAGTGACAGTTCCTCCCTACAGCATACCCACATTTTGCATTTTTATTTACTGTTTGGTACTGGAATTAAACCCAGTACATCCCCAGCCCCAACCTCCCTTTTATTTCACTTTTTATTTTGAGACAAGGACTCATTAAGTTGCCCAGGCTGGGTTCAGACTCAATCCTCCTGCCTCAGCCTCCCAAGTAGCTGGGATTTCAGGCGTGGGCCACCACATCCGGTCCTGTTTTGGGTCTAAGTACTTCCTGGCTCATCTTCTGGGCTGTGAATCTGTCCTCCGCAGCATGGGGGGAAGCACCGGTCCCTGCCTGCCCCAGACGGAGCGGCCGCCCAGGCCGTGCAGTCAGCGGGAGCGGAGAGGGCCCTGCTTCCCCTGGGCTACTGCGGGTCGGGCAGGCAGCCTCGGCCAGCCTGGGGCAGGTTACTGAACAAATCCAGGACTCCGTTCCTGCCACATTCTGATTCCTGGCCAGCACATTTGCAGAGTCAGTGAGACCTTGGGATATCTGTGGCACACCTATGACCCAAAAAGTTATTTTTTTTTCTGAAATTCAAATTTAATTTTTATTGGCTAAATTTCTCCACCTTTTTCGGTGCACACTGTAGTCCAGAGGCCTGGGGTTGGCCAGGGTCCGTCCTGTGGTATTTTAAATTAATTCCTGGGAGAACTTTTCAACCTAGCAGTGATTAAGCATTTGGAATATTTAGGTCCCTTGTAAATTGGAATAATATGTAAATAGTCCCCCGCACTGAAGCTGCCTTCTCAGTTTAAATTCTTTGGTTTAGAATATCGGGGAAAGAAACAAAGCAAAACAAAAGGGAAAATAAATGCCAGTTACTAATATGAACGGGGAGGGATGGGGAGAGGGGAAGGGGATCCAAAAAGGAACCAGGGCTGGGTATGGTGTCGCATGCGCATAATCCCAGCACTTGGGAGGCTGAGGCAGGAGGATCAGGATGGCTGAAGAGGAACAGGGACGCTCAGTAACAAGGCCACACATGAGAGGTCTGACAGGAGACTTTGTTCAGGAGACTTTAACACATGACAAGCCATGCTGCCTTTTAAGGACTCAGCCTTGCAGAAGCTCAGTTTCATTTCTCTAAACTATCGTGGCCTTGGGTAAAGGAAATTTAAGATAGTGGCACAGAGGCACGAAGAACCTGGAAAGGCGGTAGTAATGGCGGCGTCAGGTCCCCAACAATCACTGTGAGTTCAGGACCAGCCTGGGCTACACAGTGAGTTCCAGGTCAGTCTCAACAACACAGTGAGACCCTGTCTCAAAAAAACAACAACAAAAAGGACCAAGCTGTATTACATACATGCACCCACTCCCACACCACAGAGCAAGCAGGTACTGATAAAAAGTGGGCCGGGGCTTTAGCTCAGTGGTTCTGCTGCCTGCCTCGCAAGCTCAAGGACCCGAGTTTGGTCCCCAGTACCCCCCCCCAAAAAAAGAAAAAAAATATAAAAAAATAATTCTAATACTCTACTTGAAATAATAAAAAATAAAAAATTACACATTAATAGGTAAGATTTAATATAGTCACAAAGATTTATTAGAGCACTGCTAATAATTTAGTATACAATTTAAAATAATTTAAGCCCGGCATAGTGGCATATATTCATAATCCCAGTACTTGGGAGGCTGAGGCAGGAGGATCACTGCAAGTTTGATACCAGACTGGGCTACATAGTAAGTTCAAGGCCAGCCTGGAATACAGAGTGAGACCCAGTCTCAAAAACACAAGCAATAATAATTTAGTTGTACATGTCCACAACTAATAAAAGTTCTGCAATTATAAACACATAGAAAATATTTTATATAGAAGATAATCCTTAAAAATGAAACAACAGGAAATCAAAGGGAGACTGGGGAGAGAAGGGGGTGAGGGGAAGGCGGGATGAAGAGGTGAGAAGGCGATCAAGGTCCGGACATCAATCAACCCACGGTTCCATGTAACAGGCACTCATACAACACAAATAAAACAACTTCCTAATTCAACACCCACTTACACATACAGGGCATAGAAGGCATCGGAGAGAGAGCAGGGAGACCAGTGACCGAGCAGGGGCTTGTTGTCACATGGGTAAAGTCCATGTCACATCCGGGCAGTGAGGGCCACCAGCAGGCCAGTTACCCAGTCAGGACCTTGATTCCGTCAGCGCTGTGGCACAGGCCTGTGATCCTGGCATTCTAGGAGGCTGAGGCAGGAGGGTGGCGGGAGTTTGAGCTCAGCCTGCCTGTCTCCACAAATGAAGAAAAGGGGCGGGAGGGTTCAGCTCAGCTCCAAGGTTCTGGGTTCAATCCCCATTTCTACAAAGTGACACAAAACACTCTGAACTCGTACATTTTAGGAAATCAAAAAGTGTAAATAGAGCCGGGCAATTAGCTCAGTGATTCCACCACCTGCGCAAAGACCCAAGTTTTTTTTACCCCCTCAAAAGTATAAATGTGAAATCAGGGCTTTGTCTGGGTTGTTCCAAACACTAGGACACCCTCGCATTCTGATTCCTACGGTTGTTTGTTTTTGTTTTTTTGAGACCGGATTTTTTTTTCTTTTATTGAGTTTATTGGTACATTTTAGGTATACAGTACAGTTACATTCATTATTGGGATCTTGTACCTTTACATGAAGACAGGATCTTTCCGTGTGGTACAGGCCCGCCTTAACTTCGCCACGCTCCTCCTGCCTCAGCCTCCAGGGCACTGAGAAGACAGATGTGCTTTCTTGTGGCTCTCTAACCCCGCTTTCCACTTGGTCCCCAGCCCTTTCCCGTCCCTGTCCCGATCCTTCCCGGTGCCCCGGGTTTCCAGACAATGCCCCCCCATGCTGTCACGGGCTGAGTCACGCGGGAGGCGTAGACGGTGACCCGCGCCTGTCCCGCGGATCGAGTTCTCGGCTTACAAATATAGCCGGTGAGCCACAGGCTGAGCGGGCGGCGCCTTCCGCGAGGTCGCTGTGCGGTGTAGACGGTTCCGGACCGGATCGGGCTGCGGCCAGGCCAGCCCGCGGCTTGGGAGGTGAGGGGCGCGGGGTAGGGGGCGTGGACTCCTCGCGGGACCCGAGGCTGCATCCTCGGCGGACTCAGGAGAACCGCCTTGGTCCAGGAGGACCGCGCGGTCCCCGAACGCGGTTCCAGAGCCCTGTGCTGGGGGTGGTCAGGGCTCAAGGGGCCGAGCTCACCTCTCGCCTGGCCGGAGGGGGTGACTGACACTGGGGGCGGGGCCTCCCGCAGACAGCGGGGTGCAAGGGTGGGAGGAGGGATGGCAGACCCCAAGGAGAGCTGCCGGCCTCCTCCGCGGCTGGGCAGGAGCCAGAGGCTCATGTTCTGCGTTCTCAGGAAAGCCTGGGATGTTCAGGGATTCCTGCTTTCCCCAGACACTTCATTTGCATTTATTTATTTATTTTTTTAAAAGTTGAGTGTTTGAAGCAAGACCTCACTATGTAGCCCAGGCTGGCCTCGAACTTGCTGCGATCCTCCTGTCTCAGCCTTCCATGTGCTGGGATTACAGCTGTGTCCCACTATGCCTGGCTATTTATTTTGAGACAGAGTCTCCCTAATTTGCGATCCTCCTGCCTCAGCTTCCCAGAGTGACGGGATGACAGGCATAGGCACCTGCCTGGTCTTCTTTTCTTTTAATTACCGGCCTCTTTGAGCCTTCCCAGGGTGCTGGGTGGTCTTAAGCACTAGACGCAAAGGTCGCAGCCACTCACGGGTGCAGGCTCCACGGGCTGCCGTTCCACTGTGTCGGTGCAGAGCACGGGGCGTTGACCTCCGGACACCGTCAGGGCCCGGGACCAGTCCTCCTCGTCCTGCTTCCCAGCCTCCCTGGTTGGTTTTCAGCCTAACGAGCTACCAGCAGTGTAGCCGGATGTCCCCGGGGCCGTGCTGCCCCGCGGCATAAATGAAGTGTGACTCAGAATCCGGTGAGCTGCGTCCCCGTGTTCCCGCGGTAAAGCCCTCTGCGTTCCGGCTCGAGCTGGTGAAGACGGGACGGGATTTGTGAGTCACCCTTGGCACCTGGTGTCCCCGGCCAGGCGATGACAGCAGCTCCTCCATTTGAGGACACGTGTGGCAGCGCAGGGGAGGAAGGAGGGGTTCTGGGGCTGTGCCTGGCACGGCTCGGTGTCCCTGCCCTCTGTCCCCTGTCGTGTCATCAGGGAGTGCTGACAGAGGCCCTGGCCCGTGCCCCCGTGGTGGGCTTTGCGGGTCTCCGGGGTTCCCCAGGCCCCAGCCGGCCCAGCTGTCATTTGACGAGAAGGGACAGGACCCGGACAGAAAGCCGGCCTCGCCTGGCACAGGACTTCAGAGCGGGCCCGGAGCCCGGCCAGGGGACACGCTTTCCCAGTCATGCGCTCCGGCTCTGAAGGGCAGACGGTGCTGTGAAGGGTTCTGACGTGAGCTGGTCTGCAGCAGGGGAGGGAGTTCGGCCCGGCTGCACCGGGGGCCCCAGCTCCTCACCATGGGGGGCTCCCGCCTGGCCAAAGAGAAGCCCTGGCGTCCTCCTGTCTGAAGGTGCATGACCTGTCCAGGGTGGATGGGGCTGGCCCTGAGCCCAGGGCTGGGCCTCCTGGGTGGCTGCTTGTGGCGGTAAACTGTGGCTCTTCTGTGGCTGGGCCCACGGGCAGAGAAAATGAGATGTACGGTGGAGCATTATGGTGAATCTTTACACTAAAAATACACAGAGTGGGCCAGGGATTAGCTCGGTGTTTCCAGTGCCTGCTTGGCAAGTGCAAGGACCGGTATTCAATCCCTGGCATCAAAAATACGAAAAGCCGTAGAGTGCTCACTTCAGCAGCACATATACTAAAATTGGATTGCTACAGAGAAGATTAGCATGGCCCTCGTGCAGGGAGGACACACAGATTTGTGAAGGGTTCCGTATGTTTTTGTCTGTACCGATCCTCAACACAACCAATAAAATCTCAAATAGAGAAGACGAAACAATGCATAGAGCGAAAGACGCACGGCCACGAATCCCCTCCCAGTCCCCCCGCTGCTTTGGCCACATCCGTCCCACGGTCCTCGCCGCCTTCTGCAGCCGCTCTGGCGTCCTCTTCCCTGAGGGTCTTTCGTTGCGCTGTTCTGGCTGCCTGGATGTCTTGAATGGATTCAGAAGGTCGACCTTTCGTGTGATTTTGACTTTGGAGAAGAGTCAGAAGTCACCTGGTACCAGACCTGGTGAACGAGGACCGTGAGGCCCCAGTGTCCTGTCCCACGAGCTGCCTTTCCGCTGGACGGGCTCGGTGGCAGCAGTCACTGCATTTTTGATCTCAGCTCATGAAGACACTCGGGACAGAATGGTGGGAGGGGTGTGTTTGAAGTTAGGGAGAGGACTTTGTGGGGAATTCACGGCAGTGTGTCTTTTATTGAAGTAACTTGAAAATGTAAATATTCACTATAGTTTTAAAATCACACCTGGCATTTAAAAAATATGAAATGGTCTAACTTGCATCAGGAGCTGGGAAGTAGACAAGTGACAGACTGGGAGGGTCAGGGACGCGAGGACAGGGTGAGAAGGGAGGGGAGACCCCAGCGAGTTCCAGTGTGGCCGAACCCCTTTCCATGTGCGTGGGGTGCTCCAAAGGGCTGGGGTCCCACGCTCGGCCCACAGAGGGGCCTCACAAGGATTTGAGCCAGGCACCCACCGTGTGAACTTGGTCCCCTGAAAATGACTCATTCTCAAGCGGAAGTGGATGGATGTGGGTGAGGGTGTGGCACACCCGCGTGTGTGGGCTGCAGTGTGAGCGGATGGTTCCTGTGGGTGGCAGAGGGGACCAGCCGATGGTGTGATGTCTGCGGGGCGATGGCTGCTGGTGTATTCCGCTGCGTGTCGGCGCTGGCTTTTGGGACCTCCGTGACCACCCCAGCACGGTCAGTACCTGGGGTGGGCAGTGCCTTTGGGTGCTAGTCTAGGGCCACAAGACATCGGCTCCCCACGCTCCGCTCGTTACATCTGAGCTGCCAAGTCCAGCCACGCCCGGGCCCCGAGGAGTAAGTGCGGAGCCTTTCTGAAGGGGAGGAGGGGAGGCAGGATGTGGGTGCAGCTTAGAGCCAGCGCATCCCCCAAGGCAAACGGTTCTGTACTTTCTTCCGCAGCAGCGGGGAGCAGCAAGCGGACTCCAGGCCATGGGCCTGGCACTGGCGTGTGAGGCCTCGGCTGCAGCTGGCTTGAAGCCATGCTGAACTATTTTATTTTTCTCCTTTTCAGTACTGAAGATTGAACCCAGGAGTTTTGCACTGAGGTAGATCCCTAAAATATAATAAGTATTTTTTATTTTGAGACAGGGTCTCACTAAGTCACTAAGCTGCCCAGGCTGGGCTTGAACTTGCAATCTTCCTGTCTCAGCCTCCCAGACTGCTAGGACGACAGGTGGGCACCACCATGCCCGGCCGGCCTGTCCCTTCTGTCCCTGGCCCACTCTGCTCTGAGCACCTGCAGCTCTGCTCTTGACAGCTGCCGGGAGCCCAGTTGGGGAAACTCGGCTTGGGAGTTGGTGTGGGTGGGGACCTGGCCTGCAGCTGGATGTCCAACTTGAGATGACCGAAGGTGAGGGGAACGCAGGTGGTGCCCCACCGATGACCCCAGGGCGGCCACTTGTGCCCAGGGCTCTCTGGACAGTGTCTCCCGAGGGTGGCACGACTGCAGTGGCCTGGCCCACGGGGCCTAAAACACTTCATTTCTGCTCTCGCCCTGCACTGAGAAAACTGCACATGGAGTGTTTTGGGGTGGCATTCTCCTGCCCCAGGAACCTGAGTGTGGAGTTTGTTGTGACTTCGGTGGCCGTGCCAACCCTGATCTGGCTGGGATGGACTTGGACCCCTGGTGCCCAGGTGGGGCCTGGGTGACGTTGTGCTCTTATCGCCGGGGATCCTGCTTGGTTGAGGTCTCTTTCCCCTGGGGGCCTTGGACTCCCCGTGGAGGTCAGTCTTTCCCTTTTCTGCTTTGCTGCTGTCCCTGAGAAAGTTCATGCTTAGAAATCACATTTTATATATTCACCTTAAATACTGTGCACAGAGAAGAGATTAGCTGTGTGAACTTGACGGGAGACCCCCCCCGGCCCCCAAGTTGCCAAGCCTGGTGCACACCCCTTTAATACCAGCATTGCCGAGGCTGAGGCAGGAGGATCGCCTCAAGTTCAAGGCCAGCCTGGGCTACACAGTGAGACCCTGTCTCCAAAGACCAAACCAAAGCAAGATAAAGCCACTTTCCAACTCAGCACCGACTCACGGAGCTGCTGAGCCCCTAGATCAACGCTGAGCTTGCCTGGTTGTCTGGCGAGTCTTGGAGTCCGTCCTGCCGGGGGCTGGGCCTGGAACTTGGGCAAGAAGGTCCATGGCCTCACTTGGGCCTGGCACTTGGGCATGCAGGTCTGGCTGAGCCATGTGAGTCTCTGGTGAAGTCATCATTGCCTGCTGTTCCCGGAGTCCCCAATTTTCACTGCCCCAGTCTGCAAGCAGCACCCCACCGCATGGGCGAGACCCGATTTAAGTCCTGGCCCGTTCAGAGCTCCCAGGTTGAGGGACAGAACCTCAGGCCCTGCTTTGCCAGACAGGGGAGGGCTAGGTGACAGAATGTCGACTTTCCACGAAGCTACAGAGAGCAACGGTGACGTACAGCCGTGCACGGAAACGTCGGGGCCTTGGCATTGAACTTACTAAAGACATGGAAGTTGTTTTTGTTGACACAACCAAATGTTTATTTATTTATAGAACATTTCCAAGTCACTTATTTTATCACAGAAAAACTTAAGCATATAGAAAAGTTGAAAGAATTATACTGTGTTCTTATATAGATTTCCCTCCTAGATTCACTATTTATTTTATTTATTTTTTGAGACAGGATCTCACTATGTAGTTCAGGTTGGCCTTGAACTCACGGCAACCCTCCTGCCTCAGCCTCCCAAGTGTTGGGATGACAGATGTGTGCCACCATGCCTGGCTCCTTTTTCTTCTTTTCAAGCTGATTATCTCCGGTCTTTTGTGGCAGCAGTGGAGAGTCAGTGGTAGCAAGAAGATGAGGAAAGGACTCCAGAATTCCAAGTGCCTTGAACAGGCAGCATTCCCGCTGTGCCCCTCTGGTGACCTACCCTGTGCTCACAGTGGCCTGAAACCCAGACCAAAGGGCAAGCACAAAAGCCGTGACTTACGCTGGGGGAGCTGGAAGGGGAATCCTAATTCTCCCAGAATGGCTAAATCCCTTTTTCTGTTTTCTCCACTGTCCGTGTTCAGCTTCAGAGAATCCCATGGTAGTGATGTCACGGGGCCGGGGGTGGCAGTGGGAAAGCAGGCACCTACACTTTGAGGGAGGAGAGACTTTCTTTTTTACAGTTTTGTTTTATTAAAAAATAATGTTTTTGATATTTTAGAATGGTTTTAGTTGAGAAATAGTTATATATGCCTATAAGGTACAAACTGATGTTTTGAAGTATGTATAATGTAAGAAATTAAATCAAAGTAACTGATGTAAGCATTTATTTAACTATTATTTTTATAGTAAGACATTTAAAATTGATAATTTAGGGCCAAGGATGTAGCTCAGTGGTAATGGGCCTGCCTGGCACGAGCGAGGTCCTGAGTTCGATTCACAGTACTGAAAAATGAGGTGACTATCTAGATATTGTTTGTTTGTTTTTTTTTTTTTTTTGT